GTAATTAGCGGCAGGACAATTGCAGGTGACTGCTCTCCCCTGACAATGTCATGGAACTTGTTGGTGCTCGGATCTGGCTGGTGTTGCGCCTCAATCTCGAGTGACCGCACAAGTCTAGACATGAGCTCTCTGAAAGAGATGTGGGGCTCCTCTGGTGATGCTGGGCCCTGGGATGTAATCGGCACATCAGGGGAGGTGGAGTCCGCCTTGGAGTCAGGCCCGAGATGGTACAGGTCCGAGGAAGAATTCCCCAGTGAGGTAGGACGTTCAGGTTCTGCACCTCTCGAGGTAGACAGAATATCCTCGTGGACGGAAGGTGGTGAACGATCTCTTGGTTGGGGATGAAATCCAAGGGAGTGGTAATCTTCCCAGCCTGACGGATAATCATAGTACAGCCGGAACCATCCCTCTTCGCATCTTTCATCCATACAGAATCAAGGTGGTGGTGAAGAGGCAGGAGATGGATCCCGAGCTCTAGTCGGAGGCATTGAAGTTGGTGATCGAGCCATGGGAGAGGAGTCTTGAATCTCTCCATCAGAAATAGACTCACGATGAGGTTCCTTGGGCCGATCAATGGGCTGGCCTTGTTGAGAAGCAGGTTGTACCGGAGACCCCGGTGGGGTAACCTGCATTGCTGCCAGTAGCATTGGTACCAATGCTGTTGGTACCGAAGCTGCTGTCGAGATCGATGGAGCTGACAAGCCTGAATCCCGATGCCACTTAGGCTTATGAGCAGTTTTGGCCGCTTTATCTTTCTTTGCCTTTTTGTGGGAAGAGGAGTGATCCAACCCTCCAAGCTTCCTTTTCTCCCGCTGTTTACGTGGAGGAGAAGGGGATCGTTGAGCCCCGGAGGGTGAATTCCCATCATCTGATGGGTGCAGCTGAGGCATGGGCGGCATGGTCGTAGGGTGTTGGCCAGGCGTGGCTGAAGTGGCAGCCAGTTGTTGGCCAGATGCAGTCAAAGTGGAGGCTGGGTGCTTGGCGGATGGAGCATGAGCAGGCCTGGGCTTTGCAGTGAGCTGGTCAGACAGCATCAGCACTTGATCCCATAGGAATTTTCGTAAACGATTCTCCCTATTCTTGCAGGCCTGCTTGGTGAAAGCAAGGCAATGGTGGCATTTATCTGTTCTGTGCCCCTCGCCGAGGCGGAGGAGGCACAAATCATAAGGGTCCGCTGGGGATACTAAAGAGGGATAAGATAATATTTTTGTTTTTTTAGTAAAGACGAAGAAAAAGCAAAGGTATAACAAGGGAATAATAACTTGGAGTAATACTAATGAAGAGCAACAAGAACAATAAGAATAAAATAGCAAATGCTGAAGTCAGAGCGAGAGACGAAAAGGCACGAGGCACAGCGAACGGCGGTTGCAAAAGACTGAGCAAAATGGCGGCCCGGGCCCAATTCAAGGTGTTGGTTATGACCTATAAAGCCCTAAACGGCTTGGGTCCTGACTACCTGAACGAGCGCTTACGTCCGTATATGCCCGACCGCCCCTTGAGATCTGCGGGAGAGTCCCTTCTCCGGGAACCCTCCATGAAAGAAATTAGGAGAGTAAGTACCCGGAGGAGGGCTTTCTCTGCGGTGGCACCCAACCTATGGAATTCACTCCCCAAAGAAGTCCGCCTGACACCATCATTACTGGTTTTTTGGCGCCAGGTGAAGACCTTTTCATTTAAACATCATTTTAATTGTTAAAATATATGATCTGGCCAGGGCAACTTCTTCTTCCTTCTCTTTCCTCCTCCTATATTCTTTATTTACTTATTTTATACTGTTAATTTTAATTTTATATTATTGTATCTCAGTGTATTTTTTGTATTTTTGTATTTATTGGTAATTTATTATGTTCTATTGTATTTCAATGTATCTTATTGTGTTGTAAGCCGCCCTGAGGCTTCAGCAAGGGGCGGCATAGAAATGTTATAATAATAATAATAACAATAACAATAATAATAATAATAATAATAATATACTATGGAGGGGGAGGGGAGCAGAGTTTTCCCGCCAAAAACCATTAGCTTTCAATCTTTCCGGCCTAGGCACTGCGCAGGCTAAGCACCCATATGTGTGATGCACAGAGGCCATGACGAAGAAGCAGCTTTGCTTTCCTTCAGCACATTATTTAGACACAAGTCCTATTGAGTTAAGTGTGTGTAGGAGTGCAGTCTAAATGTCTGTAAAAAAAACTTCTAGTCAACAGGTTATTGCTTCAACAGGTGGTGGAGGGTAGATAGCTATGAAATACATATAGCGCTGCATTCAAGACGTGTATGCTAACAAGATCCACCACTGGCGATACATGGAGCTGGCAGGTTCTGGAGCACCAACATGGTAAGTCTCAGAGCATCCTGTGCAAGAAATCACCATGGCTTGTGGAAGTTCTGAGAACCCGCTCTGTGTGTGAGAAAGAGAAGTTGTGATCACTGCCCTTCTAAAACAATTAATGGAGGCAGTTGTTTAAAAATATGTTTCATTTGTTACCATTTCCATAATTCATGAGTTGGGCAATGGCAACAGGGTACACAAAGGATCATTTTAACATTGGAAAACTGAAATCTGGTTTGTTGCAACCTCTGATGTACACTCACTTTGTTCAGTGCATAGATGGAAGAAGTGCACTCAGAACTGGGTAATACAACCAAACTGCAACAATGAAGACACTGTTATTTTATTTGTAAGTTGTTATGTCAAATGACATAGATTTTTAAAATACTAACTCTAACTTGCTTTTCTTAAAGCATTCAAGACACAGGTAATGTGCAAAAACACACACTCATTCAAGCAAGTATTGTGCTGCATATAATTAGTGCAGCTAGTTCATATTTATTTGGAACCAAACACTGCAGAGTCCACTGGAATCTGCTTCCTAATTAGAAGCAGATGCCCTGAAAACAATAGAAGCCACTTCCGAATAGGCCAGTATAGGATTACAGTCTTAGCCTGTAGCCATTACTCAAAAATAACAGGGTGGGAATGTATTACCTTTATTATAGTCTCAGTGCAGGTACTCCTACAGGCTAGGATCCAAAGAATGGGCAAGAAGTTCCACACATCCAAGGAGGCCTTCAGATTGTCTTTTCCTGCCTTTCCCCTATCCCCAACCATTCCCTGAAGTAAAGTCTCTTTGATCCTTGGGAATCTTCCAAAGCAAGCTGTGATATGCCATTGAAGACATGTTGGGAGGGTCCTGTTCCTACTTCTTTCACTCCCAGTTCCAGCCAAAAAACAAAACAGTGATCGTACACTGGTTCGAGAACTGGAAGGCTGGGTTTGGATCCTCTCCATCTGCTGATAAATGATGACATGGAGAGCTGATTTTGGATGTTGAAGTAATAAACAGCACTAAAAATACGGAAACTTAATGCTTGCACTTCTAAGAGGAAGACAACAATTCCTGCATTAGTGGGTAGATTTTTTTACTGGCTGTCTTTGCATCAAGTTGGAAGCACTGGCATTAGACAGGCGACACAAGCAGTGCCTCCCTGCCTGTTGGAGACAATCTTTACATGAAGCTGCTCAAAGTACATGCAGCCTCCTTGGACAGCTCTGGAGAGGAGTAGCACAGCCAGATCTACACAGCCAAGGTGCATACAGAGCCTCCTCTGCAGGAACAGTCAGCTAAGGGCACAGCTATTGCTTACAGCCAGCAAGGAAAAGGGAGAGAAAGGGATTCTGTTGAGCACCAAGGTGTTTCTTGTGCAGTATGTAGGGGAATACATTGTACTGGTGTGATGCATTTCAGCAATGTGCTGGTAGGTGATGAGATGCTTCATGGCATCCAGATGCTTTGGGTTATGCAGCGAGGATAACCCTTCCACCCACAGAAGGGTTCTGGTTCAGGGCAGCATGTGTGCTACAGAATGGAGGAAGAGACCAACTTCACTGATTTTTGCTTCTTCTTCCTGCAGTTCTCCATTGTTCCTTTCCTTGCCCAGTTCTGCTCTGGAGGATTTGAGACCTTCTGCAATGGTATAGGAGGTGGCACTGAGGGCTATGGGGTGTGGGATAATGGGCCAAGATTGCTTCAGCTAGTCCCCACCAACTGATTAGGCTGGCTGGACCAGCCAATGGAATTGGACTCCAGGACTGCTCCACCTGGGGGCTGAAATGCTGGATGTGCAGTTTTATTTTCTATGAACTACATTTTCCATCCTAACGTTTAAAGCACCTTAGCAACCATTTAAGACTTTAAAAACCCTCTGAAATGAAAAGACATGCTGCCTTATTGTCTACCTTCCCACTCCTATTGGCAGGTCTAGGAAGTAGGCAAGAGGTGTTTAAGGCTGGAGCACCAGCACCAGAAGTGACGGAAGTAGGTGGAGATCTTGGCAGGATTCTTTGCCAATGCGAAGTCAGGAACAGGCATGGACAAGCTACCAGCAAGGCCTAGCAGGACCAGAAGCAAAGGCAGAGTCAAGAACAACGGAGGGTCAGATCTCAACTGAAGGCAAGGTTAAGCACAGGCATGGATCAGGTATGAACAAGGCAGAGCAGATGAAGGCATGGATCAGGCTCTTTGCAAGGCAGCCTTGGGCAAAAGGCAAAGGCAGAGTGAGAAGCTGGTGGAAGTCAGGGCACCACCAAGGCACGTCTGAAAGCAACCACCATAAGGGCCTGTGTTGCTGAGAGCAGTGTGGGGATGCCATTTGGAGCTCCCAGCTGCACTGCATGATTCTCAAGGCTCCAATCCTTGCAAGTGCTGGCAGGTCTGATCCTAGTCCTGCAGGCACTTGCAGGGTGAACTATGTTGTTTTTCATGATCTTGCCACTAGGAGAAGCTGCATCAAGGAATCAGATCCTGGCACCCATTATTGAATTATATCTACAGAAATTAAATCTAGGAGGAAAACCTACACAGAGGGAAACCTGTTACAGTAAAACATGTAAAACTTTGCCTCCCTCATTTTGCTGCACTAGAAGCCAAAAAAGAAACACCATCATTAGAAAAAGCGAACATTTTGCAACAATGACAAACTCTTGCCACTCTTGTTCATCTTTCTTATTTTAAGGAGTAATCAAAAGCAGGGTTTTTATAAGAGACCAAGCGTGTGCCATGCTGCTCACTGTGAGGTGTTCTATGTTTTTTGCATAGACACACTGACAATAATATGGTAGCAGTGAGAAAAAATGCACTTGTTGCACACAAGGCAACCAAGGGAGGCTTGTAGCTGGACTGTGTTGCAAAGGTACTGCATGGAGTGCTGTTCGCATCCCATTCTGCAGTCCGGCTTGACCCTGCCTCATTTGAAGCAATTACACATACCTGGTAGGTTGATCCAGGCAGGAGGTTGTACAGGGTATACCGCCTGGCTGTGGCATAAATCTCCCCAGAAAGCGTGTCATTCATCTTGCTGTCTTTTGGGTGGTAGGCAAGCTGGTAGAACCTCACTGCTGAGCTAGGAGCACACCAGTGGATCTCTGCAGAAGTGTCCCTTATTTCAGAGACTCTGTGGAGTCTTGGTGGTTCTGGGATGGTGAAGTCGTTAGATATGCCTGGGCACAAGCAAGGAGACAGCACCTGGAGATCAGGGCAAGGCTTCTGGAGGTGTCTGCATGGATCGTAGTCACAAAACTGGAGCATCTCCATTGCAGAGTCCTCTTGCTCGATTTCATAGTCATCATCATCTTCGTAATGCACTGGATGATCACTGGTTGCAAGGTGTGGAAGGGAAACTGCTTTGGTGGTGTTCTGCAGTGGCCGTGTAGTTTGTTCTGAATGGGCCATGATGTGTGGGATAAACAGGCCACTGGGAGCCTGGGAAGGGCTGGTTCCTGGGGCTTCAGTTGTGGGAGTGAGCACAACTGTGTGATACTGTGTTTCTTCTGGAGAGTCCATGGAATTCACGGTTGTAGCATCCTGCTTTCCAGGATCCAGGTGGACCATGCTTATGAAGGGTTGTCCAGCAGAGGTCTCCAGAGTTGTTGAGGGAGTGGTGCCAACAGCTGCCAGGGTCCAAGGATGGTCTGCAGAACCGTGAACTGTTTCTTCTCGGTCAGCAAGAATGGCTGCCTTAGTTAACTCCTGCTTTGTTGTGTCTCCCCAGGGCCAATGTGTGTTCTGGGGGGCATAAGTGCTGCCCCATTTCTGATGGGACTTGCTGGACCATGTACTAATGGCAGAGCTGGAAGAAGCACTGTGAGGTTCATCCAGAGTCCATGATGGGGTTGAATGGGCAGTTCTCTGCCCTTGGCATGCATTGTAGAGTTCAGGCAATGGCAAGGGCCCAGATAAAGGGGCTACACTCTCCCCGGGGGACGGGAAGCACATAGTTTCTGATGCCCTGAGATATATAACAGAGACCAAGGCAGAAGAGGAGCTATTAAGACATGAAAATATGCCATTTGGAAAACATTATAAAAACTTTACAGTACCCAGTGATATATCCATAGTTTGAGGATGCAGAGTGGCTATTAGAATTCCACTCCCAGCCTAAAGATCCAGTCTGGCTTCTCCCATTATTGGGAAAGATCCCACTCTCTGAAACAGTGAGGGGCCATTTGGCAGTTCTTGGGCCAAATTCCAATCCGGCAAAATCTGGGGGGGCCACACTCTCTCTGTTAGTGAGGTGACAAAAAGGTGGTCAGAACCAAAATGTGATTCCCAGCACTTTCTTTCCTTTTTTTACACCTACACAGAGATAAACAGGATCAACATTTTCACTTGCCGGTGCTACAATATTGCTACCTGACAATCTCATCAGGAAAAGGTGAAATGTACACCTTATTTCTTTAGAAATGGGTGAACAGGGGAGGAGATGTAATTCTTCAACTGGATTCTTAAAAGATTCTAAGGCAATCACTCAAACAAAATAAACTCATCTAATGAAAAGAAAACAATTGGAATGTAGTTCAGATTCAGATTTGCAATTTCTCAGTGGTTGCCAAATGCTCGTCCAAAGAAATAAGTGGGAGAAATTTTATTTACAAGCACGTACATTTTATTGACAAGCAGAAAGCAGAATGTTCCAGGTTGTTGTGCCATGTTAGCCACCTCAGTGAGAACTGGACCCTGCCCATAAGTTCATAAGTCCCCTGATCTAGTTTATGTGTATATCACCAATGTATTAACCTGTATGTCATTGTTTGGAAACACTTGATGGCAGCCAAAACCTAATCTATCAATGTTTGTGCTTTTATCCAGTAATGCTATTAATTGTAAAAACCTTAGTACCTCAAAACCAGTGAAATGAAGCTAGAGATCACAAGAGTTTAAAAGTCTTGTTATCAATATCTTTTATTCAACTTTAGCATTTATTTCTACTGTTTATGAATTTCTTTAAGTTACCACTAGGGTTAGACTTCTGTATTAAAGCAAAAACAAGCAGTAAAATGAAACCCCACTTGCTCTGCATGGCGAAGTCTGGTCGTTGGCGCAAGCACCAGGTAGAAGTTTTCCTGGGGCCCTTGGGCCAGGGAGCAGCTGGAGTCTGGTCAGCATGGCCACATCCACAGCTGTTCGCATGACTTGAGGAGGGCTGGGCAGGTGGGGAGGGGGGAGCCTGTCACAAATGACTTCAGTCTCCTTGGCTTACAGGGAATCTAGTGAGCACAGGCACCTCTGTGGTGGACCAACCAACAGCCTGCTGGTCAACAGCCTGGAAGGAGCTTCAGCTTTACCACCTTCTTACCTCTGCAGTACTATTTTGCCTGGCTTGGCAAACAACCAGGAGATGTCACAGTGGCAGACCAAAGGATTTCCATAGAGGTTGATGACGAGGTTGCCTGATGAGCGAAGATTCCATGGACTGAAAGAACTCAAGTTACAACTAGAGCAAGACAAAGATATAAAGAGTTGAGTAATGCACAGATTATGGATTATTCTTTTTCCATGTAAAATGCAGTTTGCTGTCCTCTGCAGAAAGAGGGTGACATATTTATATTACCTGTTTTTTTTAAATATGCGTTTAGCTCTTGCCTTTCCATACAGCAATGCCCAAGATGTCTAAAAGAGAACACAACAGCCAGGTCATGGGTCCTCAAACTATGGCCACAGGCTGGATCCAGCCCGCCATGCTCATTGATCTGGCCTGCCTCAGAGCTTTTGGACTCGCTCAGAGAAAACGATCTCCAAGTGTGTCCAAAAGCTCTGAGCCGGTGCAGGTGTACTCAGTGGGGAGATGGCAGCAATTGCGCCCATCTTCCCTGCATGAGGGTGCCTGCGATTCTGCCTGTCTTCCCTGCACGATCATGCTTGGGGAGCGGGGGAGATGGCCACGATCGTGGGTGCGCTCGTGCAGGGAAGATGGGTGTGATCGTGGTTGTGCTCGGGGCGGGGGAGATGGCTGCAATGGCACCTGCCTTCCCTGCATAAGTGCAATCACGTCCGTCTCCCCCCCCCCCAGCATGATTGTGCCCATCTCCCCCCGCACCAGCACTATCGCGGACATAGAAGCGGGCATAGTAGCTATGTTCCTCGAATATGGACATGCTCCTCCCCACCTCATCTTCGGCTTCTGCTGCAGCCCAAGCCGAGCAAACAATTTTTAATTTTTATTTTTTTAATTTTAATTAATTTTAATGTGCAGTGTGCATAGGGATTCATTCATATTTTTTCAAACTATAGTCTGCCCCCCACAACAGTCTGAGGGACAGTGAACTGGCCCTCTATTTAAAAAGTCTGAAGAGTCCTGGGCTAGGTTCACACAACACAGCAAACAGCCTTGCAAGGTTCCCACAGTGTACTTTTTTGCACAGCAGTCACAGGGTTACATACAGGCAGTGTGATTTATGTGCTCCCTGTGTCATCCTTCCAGCCTCATCACGCAACCTGGCAGCCCCCATGAGCAAATTCCTTGTCTTTTCCCTTCTCTTGCCTATGGACTGCAGTGACCTTCTTCTGATTGGTCCACTGCAGTGCCCAGGTGGCTTCCCCCCTTACCCCTCCCAAATATACCTGCATGTCCATGTGCTTCAGCCCCCACACAGATTTTTATTAAATGAAAAAAAAAAACAAACAGTCTCAATTCCCCCCTTCTTCCTCCATGTATTTTCACACTGTCCCTGTTTCCAAAAGTAAATAGGGAGACAGACACATCATTTGGCCGATGAGAATAAAGTGAGTGGTTACTCGATAGGAGAATGGAAGATGAACAGGTTAAGGAAACTATGATAATGTGGGCACAAAATTTTGGATAGAATATTGAATTAGAAAAATGGCAAAAGCTGTGGGAGAGAAATATTAAGGTAACATTAGCAACTTCGTATAAAGAAAACCTGTATAAAATGTTTTATAGATGGTATCTGTTGCCAAACAGATTAGCCAAGATGTTTCCAAATATGTCAAATGGATGCTGGAAATGTAAACATAAGTTGGGTACTTTCTATCGTATGTGGTGGACTTGCAATAATGCGAAAAAGTATTGGATTAAAATACATAAATGGCTTGAGGAAATGTTACAAAAATTCTTAGCTTTTAAATCTGAAGTCGTCTTATTAGGCATTATACCTGTTGCTATTAATAAACAAGAAACATACTTGATTTTACATGTAATTACTGCAGCGAGGATTGCATTTGCTCAACACTGGAAAAGTGAAGAACCACCCACCGACGAACTGACCCTAAAAAAGATCTTGGACTGTGCAGAAACGGATAGATTGACTTTGTCATTGAAGGAGAAAGAAGATACTGATTTCTATCAAACTTGGGACTCTTTTTATTCTTGGCTAGAGAAACGGGACTTCGTACAGATTTAAATATGTTTTTAAATTATCATAAACGGAATAGGAAAGGTGTGGGGGCTGACCCAGTGGGTCCGATGTTTCTGATGATTAATGTTGTTTTTAGTTTTTCTTTGTTTTAGGGTTATTTTGAATAAAACTTATTACATAAAAAAGAGAATAAAGTGAGTGGTGATGGGTCTGTTGCTAGGGAGCTGAGGGCAGGAGAGATCGAAGGCTAGAAGCAGCCACTTCCATGAACGCCTTTGCCAGGGGACTCTATGGTGTTTCCATACCAACAATGGTAAAATGGTAATCCTGGATCTGAACAACTAGAAAAGCCATGGTGAAGTGTGGGAACCATAAAACAGACCATTGATTCTCTCCATGCTTTCAGAAAACCAATCCTACCATTCAGGAACCCTGGAACTCAGTTCAGACAACACGGCACATCACAAGAGACCCACAATGGTGAGTTGTCCTTATGGCTTCTTGTGTCTTATGAACCCACCCAATAAATGCAGTATAAACCAAACTATACCTTGTAGGACCCTGAAAACTTCTGGTTTTCATGTTGGAAACAAGGAGGAGGAAATCAACATGTGCAAATGCCAAATCAAAAGACTCACCAGGCATTCTGTTTTACGTTCATGATGGGAGAAACTCCCACTTCTTATTCAGAAATACCACACTCTTAATTTGTGTCCCAGCATCAAAATTTTTGTGAACCTCAGGGGGAATTTGCCCCCCCACTGCAAATCAATGCAATGGGTGTCATATAATATATATTAAAAACAAGTCTATGATTAAAGCCAGATCCTCAAATAGTGACTTACACTTACCAGGGAATTGGTATGGGCCTGAACCATTGGACTTAGATACAGCTTGGCTAGCAAGTGAACCCAGGAAAACTTACTTCTGGAACAGGAGGAGAGCCACATGTGGTATGTGGTTGAATGACTCAGTATGCACCAGAGTCAGTGCTTGCGAATCCCGGCAGTCCAGTTCTCTCAGCGTGGGCACGTGAGGGAAGATGTCAGCATCAAGGCTTCTCAGTTGCCTCATTCTGGTTAGATAGAGGGATGTGAGTCCGGGCAGATTTTTGATCCAGCCCTGATGAACTGAGGAAGAGAGGAAACAAAGTGCATCAAGCAGGGAAGGCTGTGCACAAGATGCAGTTGCCTCCAGCGCAAGTGTGCAGAATTTGAATTCTGGAGAAGCTCTTGGGGGCCCAAAGCAACAAGCTGGGGGGCTGAAGGTGAAAGGGACAAAGCTAGCATAACTGCATTCTTTAGCCTGAAGCTCTGCCTGCCACTAAGTAAGCCTTAGGAGAAGAATTTCAGCTGTTTAAGGTGGGGAAAAGATGGGCCACCAAATAATTGGTGGTTGGAAGAAAGGTGTGTGTGTTTTTTTTTGAAAGTTGGAGGTGCTGGAAGGTATCATACATGCCACCTCCTGTGACTCACAACATGTTGTAGCAAGCTACTTTGCTACAGCAACTTGACAAATACTGGTGCTTAAGGAGGAGGCAGCAAAGGAGTAGGGGAAGGGGAAGGAACCACAACAGCACTGTCTCTAGCACAGCTTTAATGCACTTCAAAAATTTTAAACTATAATTTTGAACTACCACTGCTGACATGGACCAATTGTCAGGGATGATGGGAACTGTAGCCAAACCATGTTGGAGAAGGCTGCCGAGCAACTGAATGGAAGAGAAAGAAAAATGACTGGAGATGGCATTGGTTCCTGATGCCTTATTTAGCCTCAGACCACCAACAAATCCGTAGCTGGAGGATTTGGGCTGGATTTGACCCCAGCCCTGAGGTGCAGCACCCCTGATTTAGCCTGCCTTCTTTGTACCCACACATTTGGTTCTTTGTTCAATATAGCATTGCTCCCAACTCACATAGGAAGCAGACTGAACTGGAGGAACCTGAAGCAGGGCTGCTGATGGGCAAATACCACTGTTGGATGCTCTGTCATGCTGAAAAGGCCCAGCAAGTAGAAGAAAGCACAGGAGGAAGCAGGTCAGGGGTAGGCCACCTGGTACCCTCCAAATAACAATTCCCATCAACCCCAGTCAGCATAGCCAATGGTCAGGAATTATGGGTTTGGAGTCCAAAATATCTGGAGGGTGCCAAGTTAGAGTATGTTTTATAGTGGATAGGTCTCATTTGATGGAAACGAGTACCATCAGTGGGGTTAATTATATGGGAGTACAATATAAGGCAGGGGTGGGCTGAAGGTAGATCTCCACATGTTTTTGCTTCAGCTCCCAGAAGCCTCTGCCAGTATGGCCAATGGCCAGGAATTCTGCGGGTTTTAACCCAAGGTATTTGGTGGGTGTTGCCTGCCCCTGAAGTGGGCAGCGCCTGCACCTGGTGCAATTGCTTACTCGTTTTTCCTTTGATGAGAATGCTTTATGTGGGCCCCTCTGCAGCCTGAAGCGGCAGTGACCACCACCTCATTCTGCTCTGAACGTAGAAATGGCCACTGATCCAGATGAGGGGTCCCTCCTATGCTTTGCGGAGTGAATGTGGGGGATAACTGGAAATACATCATTGAAACATTTTTGGTGAAAGCACTGCAGCCCATAGCAGGCATGTCTGGGCTCATCTGACTATTAATCATGGCTTAGCCCAATGAGGCCTGCCTACATCAGTCCTGGCCTTTGCATGCTAATTAATTGGCATGATGAAAAACCATTTTGCATGAAGTCTTTAGACAGGGATGGGCTGAGGATGGCTGCTCCCCCGCTACATTTTCTCTCCCACTCCTTTAACTAACAAATTAGAAAACAGTTGACAATTTTGCCTTTAAAAGGCCTGCAAAACAAAGGAACTCCTTTCCCTAAATTTTCAGTGACACAGAATTTTAGACAGATTATAGGCCTGCTTATAGCCCATGTATCCTGGGACAATAGCATAAGAAGGGAGGGAAGTACGAGGGTACTTCTGCACTGGGAGTGGTGCAAGCAATGTTTTAATGCCACTGCTGCAACTGTAAAACAATTGGAAGAAAAACTGCTTACTCATGTGAAAGGCTGCTTAGGATCCGTATGAGGGTTTCACTAGACCCCACAGGTTGCTGATAATTTTCATTTTGGATTGCAATCCTGCACCCACCTAGCTGGGAATAAGTCCCCTTGAATTCAAGGAAGATTATTTCTGAAAAGACCTGTATATTATTGCACTGCTAATATTTTATTGTAACGTACAAGGTGCACTGGGATTTTATAATTTTAAAAGTTATAAATAGAGTTGAATTTTCACACAAATTCATGCCTCAGCAAATACAAATAATTCAATGCTTTAATTTATATTTAGATTTTACAAATCTTATTTCTCATTCTCTCTCTTTTTCCTTTTGGCCAAAATTCAGGTTTTCCCACAGAAATTTCAGTGTGTACACATGCAGATGCACCCACCTACTAACAATTATAAATTGGAAAAAACATCTTCCAAATGGAAAATCTTTAATTTGGTCTTTCATTTTTGTATTAAAATGCATTAAATAAACATTCTGTGTTCCCATTTCCAATTCAAATGTAGCTCCACTGTTATGTTTGTTTCTGAACCTTCCTTCTGTTGAAAACAGAAAAAAATACATATGGTTACCTCCCCACACCCCAGCTTGATGGGACTTGATCAAGGTCTCAGCACTTACTCCTCTCCAGAAATGTGGCACTGAGGTCAAGCACACTGAGCGCACTCCCGGGTTTTCTGGTGGAGTCTCCAACGTGACGCAAGTTCATTGCAAAGGCAGATTCACTAATGCCCCCTTGGCCGTCCCTTCCCAGCCAAGTGGAAGACAGATTCAGGAAAAGCAGCCGAGGAAAGCAGGAGAATGCCAATGGCTGGATCTCAGCGATGGGGTTTCCAGCCAGGGACAGCCACCTGAGACTGGCCAAAGAAGAGGAGGCAGTGCATGCGGGCACAGATGACAGCAAATTGAAACTCAGATCTAGGGCCTGGAGGCTGCTGAGGCTCCAGGCCCCCCACGTCACTTCTTGAATCTGATTGTGCTTCAGGGTGAGAACTTGCAACCTGGGAAGGTACGCCACATCCTGGCTGTGTAACTGGGGCAAGAGGTTGACACTGAGATCCAGGTGCTCCAGAAATTCTGGCAGGCATACAGGGAAAGAAGTCAGATTTTGGTTTTTCAGGTGCAGGGTGGTCCAGGCCTGGTTTCTCAGCTCCTCACAGGACAGGTTAGTAAGACTGGCATTTTCCTCCCAAGTGTTCTGCTTAACCAGATGGAAAAATGCTTTCATATCTCCATGTGTGGCAGGAGCCTGCTTCTCCGTGGGTCTGGCTGGTACTTCTCTTCCCAGTAGAATGAGGCCAGTGAGGAAGAGGCAGAACATTCCAGTTCCTTTCAGCATCTTCCATGTAAGGATGGCTCCTGTTTCCAGAAAGAAGACAAAAGAAGGAAAACAATCCTGAGTATTGCCAAATATTCATTCTTACATAAGAAGCCACTCTTGTCCAAGCCTATTAACAAGAACTGAACTCACATGGTGGAAAGGAAGGATGGAAGGTATATGCCTGAGTTTAAACCCCAAGTTTGGCTAGAGATAGTGAACATTCATTCACCAATCTTGTACTTTGGAAGTGGGCAACTTGTGGTCCTCAAAGTGTTTTGGCCCAAGATCTCATCATGATAAGAGAATGGTGTCATAGTTAAAAGCAAGGGACTGGGACTCAGGCAATTGGGGTTGTAGTCCCTGCTCAGTCATGGAGCCAGATGGGTGACTGGGCCAGTCACAGACTCTCAACCCAATCAACTGCACAGGGTTGCTAGTATGGGGATAAGACTAAAAGCAGCAGGAGGAGAGTGACATAAACTGCTTTGAGTTCTTTAAAGGGAAAAAGGAGGGGTATAAATCTAGCAACTAGATATCTGGACAGCTACAAGGTGCCCTGTTAATACACATTTACTTAGGAGTAAGTCACACTGATCTTCACAGGTCTTACTCCTGACCAGTGCTTTTTTTGTAAGAAAAACGGTACCAGAACTCATGAAATTATTTACCTTTCACACGTAGTCAATCACTGTACACACACCCATACATATCAGTTGTGTAGGAAACATAATGGTCGCCGCCCGCAGTAAACACTCAGCTTGCGACCGCATGACCAATCACAAGTGGAGCAGCGCCACAAGCCGAGCAGCACCATCACAACCAGCATGGACGAAGTACACACGCATCGGATTCGACATACAAGCAGCTTGCATGCACCGTTTTAAAGATTTTGCCACTGACCAGTTACACATGACAGGGTGACTCAAATCCACGTGGACCAAACATCAAATTTTCAAACGTTACTTTTAAAACTTGGAAAATCTGTCTAAAAACGGTGCTGGAACTCCATTCCAGTGCGTTCTATGACAAAAAAAGCACTGCTCCTGACACATCTGAGACTGCAATGCTGGTTTCATCTAGAATCCTGGATCCTAATTTGCAGCAGTGAGTCCTGCTCCACAGGCTGGTTGTGAAGTTAAGAAAAGGGTGCGCTGCGCTTTGGAGGACAGCGTAGATGAGGGGTGCCAGGCAACACCACCTTCTGCATGTAGTCCTCCCCTGCTTTCACACAACTTCTTCCTCTGTTCAGAGTGCAGACATTCCTCTGTACACCAGAATGCCCCTGCAAACCAGTTCTTGGGGGACATGAGTGGGCAACTGCTAGTGCTCTTACCGACTCTTGTGGGGTTTTGCTGGTAAGCAGGCAAAATGAATACTAGACTACATGGTCTGATTTAAGGCAGCTCTGAGGGTTGTGCGAGGAGCCATCCCTCTAAAAGCACCCTACATACTCTTCACAAAGCAAGAAAAACAGACTTTTCTACCTAAAGGAATCTTCCTGGGGGGCTTTGAGGTCCGAAAAGTAAATACTGGTCAACGCAGCTGCCCACCTTACTCAAGCGGGGCTCTGGGGCCATTAGTAGGCGAGGCCAGAGGAAGCATCTCTCCCACCTGGTTTCACCCATGACCGTCTCCTACACCGAGAGGAAAAACCACGTCTGAGAACTCGTCCGTTCGCAGGAGCCCTTCGACACGCTGCGTCCGGCAGTGCCAAGTCCAAGCCCCTGCTTCGTCCAACGCTCTTTTAACTGGTCTCTCCTTGTCGCTCAGTGCTAACCCGTCTCCCTGCTTTCCTCAGAGGCACCGGACGCCAAACTTCACCCCTCCAAGAGGAAACAAACCATCTCTCCCTCGCCCCATTCGCATCCTCTTGCACTCACCCTCCGAGGTGTCTTGCGGCGAGGTTCCGTGTCGGGGGACCCTCAATGCTGCAGCTCTTGTTTTAAGCGTCCTGGTGATTCAGAGCAAAAGCACGAGGCCTGCCTGCCTGCCAGCCCTCTCCCCGCCCCTCCCCCTCCCCGCCCCTCCTCACCTCCTCGCCTCGTCTCTCCCACCCAAGCCCCCGTCTCTTGGTGGGGGCGCTGGCCCTGCTCGCCTCCCCTCTCCTTGCAAGGGAAAGCGGGGGAACTGTTCGCATTGCTTCCCCATGCTCCTTCATCTGGTTAATGGTAGGCGGGTTAATTAATTTCATGGCCTGCACAAATGGACAGCTTGACACCTCCCCCCCCCACCCCCACTCAGATAGAGAGGGAGAGACTGAGAGAGAAAGAGAGAGAGAGAGACTGATTCTGTCACGGGCTGAGACTGGGAAGAAAGAGCTACTTTCTGTCAAGACCAAGCTTCCTCATCTCCTGATAAGTAGGCCAAAACCTTGTGTTCCATGCATATACCAAAATTAAACTCCCCAGACCTTCACTTTTCTAAAAACTAGTTGTAGACTATGTATTACACATGCATAAATGGAAGAGAAGAGAAGAGAAGAGAAGAGAAGAGAAGAGAAGAGAAGAGAAGAGAAGGGCTTTGTGAGGCTGTGAATTTGAGGGAGCAGGAAAAGGAGAGGACGGGGTGCTGAGTTACTCTGATAGCTACTTCTCTTTTAAAAATTGCTCGCCTTGCAGGACTCCAGAATGCTTTTCTTAGCAAATACATATGAACTCCATGGAGAGGGAGAAGTTCTGGTGAGGATAATTTGGAGTGGAAGAACAAGCAGTGGCATTCGTGCTCCTTGTATACTTTAATTCTTAAGAGTCTGTTTCCATTAACCCCCACACCCAAGGGATCTTTGAGCTTCCACTGCATGCATTAGATGGGCTAAGTCAGATTGAAAGTGGGGACTCCAATAGTCACATCACCTTTTCTTGAAACTATTTTCTCTAAGGAATTGTCAAACGGGTCCAGGGCTTGGTCATCATTTATTGCATCTTAAGTTTGCTCTTTAAGCAAAACATTTAAGGAATAAAAATAAATGAACCTACTGAAAGTAACTGGGGTGGCCACTTCTACATTACCAAAGCAGAGGAAAAGCATCACCAAAATGAAGGATACAGATTTCTACACATTATTTCATTATGTAAATCATCTAGAGAGCCACGTGGCTACAAGACATTGTGTAAAAGTGCTACATAAATAAACTAACTCGTGCTTCTGCTAATGTACATGTACAGATGCCAAGGCCTAGAAATAGTGGTCTAGATCTAGATCCTGTCCTATGCAAGGGGAAGGCATGATGTGCCGCTGTGATGACCTGTTCCCCCCTTGGACAATGTTTCTCAGCCAACCCTAAGAAATGATCCAGCAAACTGGGCCTCTGTGGACACACGACTCCTGCACAGTGCTGGCCAACATGCCTCCAGCTCTTACTTCAAGGCCAGATTCCAATCTGCTCATGTTGCACTATGGCTTGTGCCGCCTTTGCAGGGAACTGCAGCATGTGAGGGCATATCTGGATCCAACCCAGTTAGTAGAATATGACTAGAGCATGTTTCCTTGTAGTGGGAAGACTGTGACCAGAGAATCCATGTGACTACTGCATAATCTTCTGTCCAGATGCCGCGTGTTGACAGGCCACTTCATGGCTGCTTTCATATTACCAAAAAAGAGGAAAATTGTCACCAGACTTAGGCTGGACAGCTCTTCAAAGAGAGCACAACTTCACGGGAAGGGGGCAGTCCTCTGTCAGCCCTTCAAATAGAGGACTGTGCTCTTCAAAGTGGCCACCTAATAGTAATGTAAAAAATAGCAATGAGCATTGCTCAAAGAGAACTGAGCAGACAAGGCTGAAAGTTTTCACACCCCCACTCAGCAGCCATAACAATCATGCGTTTCAGGGGCCTTGAGAATGTCTGCAGCGCTTATCTTGGCACATGCCTGTCAGTATCAAGGGAGCTGTGAGATGTGCCAGGCTTCCCCGAGATACACACTGGATTTGTTAATGGGGCTGCTGGAGCCATTGGATTTCTGTTCTCTTGCTGTAAACAGAGAACTTGTACTTTTGGGAAACCCTTTTAAAGCCAATGAGTGTAATTAGGTATTACCCAATGCTGTTCAGCTCCCATGCACTTTGTTGCATTTGGACTAATTTGTTGCTGAGTCCAACATCTTACTCTGCACAAAGTCCCGAATGGCATGGTGCTGTAAGGCAGCGTATAACATTCAGTACCACAGGCTGTAACTACCGTATTTTTCGCTCTATAAGACACACCTGACCATAAGACGCACCTAGTTTTTAGAGGAGGAAAACAAGAAAAAAAATATTCTGAATCAAATGGTTTACTAAACTATTTAATAAACTATAACAGAATACAGTAATACCGTATTTCAACCTTGTAAAGTGAACAGCAGTCAGCAGTGGCATTAAGAACCATCATCACTGTCATTAACAAAAGAGAGACTTTAAAGTTCGAGTACTCTTGTAGTTTTCATTGAACCCATAGAACTCATCATCACTAGAGTCAGAATTTATGAAGCTCTGTTGCTCACAATCACTGACATCACTTTCTTAGTCAGTAGTGGAATTATTGAAGGAATCCACAATCTACACCAGTTATACAAGAGCTGCTGCAAACAATTCAATAACAAATCTAAAAAAGCCAATAATGTCCACACTGCCCTACTAGTAAATAATAGAAAAAAAAGTCTGACAAAAAATGAGATATTGTATAGTAAATCAAACACACAGTGGACTAAGTAGCCTTTGAAGAATAAACTTCATACACGAAGGTAATGCTGTTCAAATATCCACTGATCCTAAAAAAAATGTGTCTGATCAACTAACAGATAACTGATCCATGGAAAGCTTCCTGATTGTCACAGGCACATTCCCCATCACTTCCCCATGGGCTTCGGGTTGGAGTCAGTGCAGCGTAGGGCCACAAGGTTGGTGGCCGGTTTGCAGGGGATGGGGTACGAGGCGAGACTGAGGAAACTGGGTCTCTTCAGCCTGGAGAAGAGGAGACTCAGAGGGGATATGTTGGCGACATGCAGGTATGTGAGGGGATGTCACACGGAGATGGGTAGAGACCTGTTCTCCCCTGCAGAGGAAGGCAGGATGCGCTCCAATGGAGCAAAGCTCAGGGAGCCAAGGTTCCATTTGGATGCCAGGAAGCACTTCCTGACAGTCAGGGCCCCGAGGGTGTGGAATGGGCTTCCACGGGAGGTCGTTGAGGCCCCATTGGTGCGGGTGTTCAAGGATAGCCTGGACGTCCACATGGTGGGCATGTCGTGAGCGGAGCCGGCTGGTGCCGGAGGTCAGACTAGATGGCCCGGGAGACCCCTTCTGACTCACTCTGTTTCTATGTTTCATTAAAAGACGGGTTGCCATTTGAAAACACACACCGACTTGTGATTAACAGCTCTCACCTGTGCCGGTGGAGGGGGGCGGAGCAGGGCGCGCCGAGCGCGTGCTGGCCAGGTGGTGCCATGTGGGGCCAGCAGTGTGCGTGGCGCGCTGGCGGCGGCAGGTCTTCCCAGGTGGTGGGGGTGAGCAGTTCCCGGGAGGTGGGGGTGAGCAGTCCATCTCTCCGTGCGGCCGGCGGGTTAAAGGCCGCAGCTCCTCCTCCTCCGCACGCCTCCCCCTGAGCGGCACAGCTTTCACCTGCGCTGGAGGGGGGGGGGCAGAGCAGGGTGCACCGAGCGCGTGCCGGCCAGGTGGTGCCACGTGGTGCAGGCGGCCAGCAGTGTCCCGGGTATTGGGCACACACACATTTGCTCTATAAGACACACAGATATTTCCCCTTACTTTTGAGGGGGAAAAAAGTGCATCTTATAGAGCGAAAAATACGGTACATTTTGGAAAAAACAAACCAAACCAAAAGCATTTGTCACAACAGAAGTCATTAACAGTTGTTAAGCCAAGCCTGTTCGATCCTTTTGAGAAATTCATTTGTGGCTTTATTTGTTTAGTGTACTGAGAGGCTTCCTTTAGCACTTTAGCCTCACACAAACAGCGAAAACATCATGTGGCGTATACAGACTCTTTAAAGTAGATCCACTCATTGGTATAAACTACTAAGAAGCAGCACTTTGACTTCACTGGTCTGAGCAAGACCAAAGGATGTCAGTGATGAGATAGCTCAGAATCGCAAAGCCAAAGTCACTTTGGGAAAAGCACTTTAAGAAAAGCACTTCGAGGTGGTGGTGGGCAACTTGTGGCCCTCCAAAAGCTTCGGTTGACAGCTCCCACATCTCTCACCAGTGGCTCTGTTGACTAAGGCCTGCAAGAAGGATAGGCCAAAAATCAGAAGGACTACATGGGACCCACTCCTGCTTTAAGCAAGGGCAACCTAAAAGAGACTTTTTAGGCTTGCCTGAAGGCCTGTAGCACTGAAGGAGCTAAGCATAGTTCATGTAGAAATACATGGTGGGCTTTTTGTGAGCAGAGCCAGCTGGGGCTGGGGGTCAGACTAGATTGCCCGGGAGCCCCCTTCTGACTTGCTCTGTTTCTATGTTTATGCATTTTGCCTAAGCAAATCATTTCCTATACCCTACAGGCTCAGCAACCCTTATTACAATCCTATTACAATGGAGAGCTCAAGCTGAAACTGGAAACTTTTGAAGAGTGACCCTCTGACCTGGTTCA